TCTGTACCTACAAGAATATAGGTAATAAAAAAATCGGCAATGGGTATAATACATGAAAATTTATATTAACGTTTAAAAAAGATGTACTTAAATTGAATTCTGGCTGTGTTGACTTGTCGGTAATTATTTTGATTTAAGTCATTTTGCTGACTCGCAGATCATCTTGATGTACTTAAATCAAAAATACAGAATTAAATTTTTAAAATGACTTAAATTGCATAATATTGATTTAAGTCTTTACGAAAATGTCTTGACTTGAAAAGAAATGATTAAGTCAAAAACTTAACATTTACTTAATCATTTTGGTTTTAGAAATGATTTATGATTTAGGTCTTATTCAAACTGACTTGTTGCAGCTCTGTTTTCAAATAAACGAGAAACACTTCGGTTGCAATCCAAATAGAACACTGAACAACAGGGTTGGGTAGGTAGATAATTTTTTATATTCTACCGTATTTTCTACAAGTAGAATATTAATTTTCTACACCAAACAATTACCTACATTTTCTACATGTCCATATGTAGAAAATCAGTTATGTATATTGAAATCCACTTTTGACGTCTATATTTGTTTAAAATACGTTAACACAGGAGTGGCACAAAAAGTGAAAGTAGCAAAATAAGAACTATGAAGTTATATAATATAATAATAATAATAGTATATAATATAATAATAAACTGTATATACAGGGTGGTCCAAACTGTATTCCGGAAACTTCGGCAGCATATTCTGCAAATAAAAATAAGTAAAAAAGTTCGTATAAATGTATGTCCTAAAATACTTAGTTTCGGAGATACAGGGTGTAGAAGTTTCATTTTTAGTTCGATTTTTTCCAAATAATTTATGAAGTAATGCCAATATTTGGATCAAAATTGGTATCTGGGAGTTTTTTAATATGAGAAATTTGATTTTGATGTCAATGTGACTCCTACTTGTAGAGGGCGCCACTTACATTTTTTAACTGGTTTGAAGAGTAATAACTTTTCGTCCGTACCTGTATAAAACTACTGAGTAAAAAAATATACATTTACGACATTTTTTACGTAAATAAGGTCTGTTAGTAAAAATCTTTTCGAGTAATGGTTCTCGAGATATTTGGAATCGAAATTATCAATACCTGTCATCATTGACATAATTTTAACATGTTGACTAAATGCTTATTAGACTGAAATCATAAATTTGAAATGTTTTTGTACTAAAAGTTCAACAGAAACTGTTTTATTATCATTTTTTCGCAGAAAAATTTATTATTAATTTAGAAAAATAAAAATTTTCCAAATTTATGATTTCAGTCAAATAACTATCTACTCAACGTGTTTATTTTTTGTCAATAATGACATGTATTGACTATTTCCATTTTAAATATCTTGAGAACGGTTGTACGGAAATGTATACTTTTTTACTCAATATTTTTATACAGGCGCGGGCGAAAAGTTATTACTCTTCAAAACAGTTAAAACACATGTAGCTGGCGCCCCCTGCAAATACGAGTCATATTGACTAAGTGGGCACCGAGTGGGCGTGGCAAAATCTAGCCAACCGAGTCAGAGCCCACTGAGCGTAACATTTAGATTTCCGCCACTAGAGTAGTAGGAACAAAGAACTTGATGTAATTGGACAGACCTGTTCATACTATCTTTACATTTATTAATTCTGATGCTTTCATATGCATCTAATTGTCTGTAATTTGAGACTTGTTTAATTAATTTTAAATTATTAAGATCTATACAATGTTCTTTATTAACAATATGTTCGGCAACGCAAGATTTCATTCTTCTGATATGCCCGTCATTGGTTGCTGTTCCGGTTTTTACACTGTTTCATTATGCCTCTCTGCTTATCTCCGCTCATCCCTGATAAAATTATATTTTCACTTTTTTTATATAATTTAAATTTTTTTAATTTTGTTTATTTCTATAATTTAATTTATTTCTATTTTGTATTTGGGGTCGCACCACTCTGGCACTTTGTGCCATTGTATCGGTTTTTTAATCGCGGTGCGATCCCTTTAGACACACATTTATTAATACTAATATTATTCTGCAAAACTTAATGGGGTCTAATAAAGAAATTTGAATTTGAATTTGAAAAAATAGTAGAATAATGTTAATTATTTGTTTCACTACGATCTTTACAGATCTATTGTGGTCCTATTCTTGTAGGTATGTAGGTCATCTCCTTTTCAAAAATCCTAAACTAGGAGGCAAAATATTCCATATAGATCTTTAGCAATGACTTTCATTGAATCATTGTCTAGTACAAAGAACCACATATTTGAGAGACTATCGTACTGATGTCGAATATGTTCTGCAGTTTCTTCTCCTGATTGACAGAATCTGCATATGGTATTTTCTCTCAATTTCAACAGTCCCTTATTCTGATATTGGTCCAATACTTTAGTTTAATATAATACAAATATACCTTATAACGTCTTATAATTTAATTCATTAATAATGTAAATTATGAAATTAAATATATTTTTAAATGTTCTTAAATATTTAATATTTTAGCCGAACCGAGGCCTTCGTTGTTTACAAACAACCGGACCAAGCAATAGCTCTAGCACATTGCCATTTGCAGCCGAAGACTACGTCATTATTTGCAACAACACCTCTTTCATTGCTTGTACAAATAGCATCGTCTCGACAGTCTGACCTCTAAATCTAGAATTCCTGAAACAGCAATTAGTGGTCTCTTCGTAATGATTCGCCAGCCGAAAAACCATGGGATGAAAGAGCGAGACGGAGAGGGAAAGGCCTGGGCTGAGCGGGTTCTGCGACCTCCTAAAAACCGTCTAAGATGTTTGCTGGGTAACGACTGCTTAAAACAAACAATAGCGGATGTAAATTGTCTGCCATGCCAAAAACTCGCCCAGTTTTGTTCAGTTCGTAGACGATTTTTTTCTCGATATCGTAATCTCTCGTCTAGATCGTTCGCTATATACGGTGGCTCAAACATTAAGTTGTTGTCATTAACTTTTGAATCTCTTCGTTTTGACACGTTGTAAGGAGTTAACAAGCTTTACTTTTTAGCAGCTGATTCATAATAAATTTTATTTTTGGACAGAATTGGAAAAAAAACCTGGATTGTTATCACACAGATTATCTTTTGTGCCTATTAAACAGTTATTTATACCAGAGCAAGGTTTTATACTCTCTTAAAACTAATTTCGTATATCAGACTTCTTCTAATTTGTGTTGTGTTTAGATTTTTCATCTTGTTGCTGTGCCAAACATTTATATTACCCTGTATTCGATATATACATTAAAGTTTATTTAATTAATTGCCAAAAAAAATACCTATATTTCTGTAGTCTGTTTCAATATCCGTTGATAGCAAATTGTAGTGTTTATATTAAAGTATTTCGAAAAACTCTCCATTTGGTTCATATATATCCAAAATCATCTTCTCCTCCATATTAACTATAACTATTTACTAACTACACTTTATATATTATTAATTACAAATAATATATTATATTATTGAGGAACTTCAATTTTTCCTTACTATAGGATTTTCAAGGATTGCCTTACTAGGTTACCTATCTAACTTGTAACGACTTCTATGAGTCTCGCAGGAAGAATGGTCGTTTACATGATACTCAAATAAATAAGTTGGCACTATGCTATATATCCACATAGAATCAACATAATATTCTACATGTCCTTTTACCAAATAAAAATATATTTGAGTTTTGTATAAAGCAATAATTTGAAGACAAACAAGGCATCACCCATGGGATATCTTGCGGTACACAAGTTTATGTTACGCTATCAAAGCTGTAGTGGATCTACAAACAGGTCATTTTAAGCTGAATAGGCATCTAAAGCTAAAAGGATTGACAGACAAAGTCATGTGCAAATTCTCTCAAACTAAAGAAGAAACGGCTTCTTCTTCTTCGGGTTCCATCTCCTAATGGAGGTTGGAAATCATCATGGCAATTCTAACTTTGTTAACGGCTGCTCTGAATAACTGGTTTGAAGTCATTCCAAACCATTCTCTCAAATTCTTGAGCCATGATGTTCTTCTTCTTCCTTGGCTCCTTCTGTCCTTTATCTTTCCTTCTATTCTGTTCTGCAGCAGGGCATATTTAGGTTCTCTCATTATGTGTCCAAAGTACTCAAGTTTTCTCTTTTTAAGGGTGTTAATCACCTCTTCGTCCTTCAGAATTCTGCGTCGCAGTTCTACATTTGTAACCTTGTCAGTCCATGCAATCTTCAGCATACGCCGAAAACACCATCTTTCGAATGCCTCAAGCTTCTCCATTTCGGCCTTTTTAAGTGTCCAAGCCTCTGAACCATAGAGTAGAGTTGCAAATATGTAACCCCTTAGCATTCTTAATCTAAGCTTTAAGTTGATGTCTCCACTGCAGTTTTACAAAGGCTGCTCTGGCTATTTCTATTCGAGCTTTTATTTCTGCCGATTGATCCAAGTTTTCGGCCAACCAACTGCCTAGATATTTATATTTTTGTACTCTCTCCATAGGTGTATCATCTATTAGAACATTGGCTTGGACATCTTCTCTCTTAGTGATGATCATAAATTTAGTTTTCTTAGGTTTCATTTTCAGGCCATAGACTCTACACGTGTTGTTTAGTCTTTGTAGAAGTGTTTGCAGACCCTCCACGTTGAATGCTATAAGGACGGTATCGTCCGCGAACCGCATATTATTTAAGACCTGCCCATTAATAGTGATGTCCTCCTTTCTACTAGTCAAGGCCTCCCGAAAAATTGATTTGCTATATATATTAAACAATAGCGGAGAAAGTATACATCCTTGACAAACGCCGCTCAGAATCTTTACTTCATCAGAAAGTTGGTCTTCCACTATAACCTTCGCTGTTTGCCCCCAATAAAGATTTGTTATTATCCTGATATCTCGGCTATCGATATTCATGCCTTTAAGTATTTCAATTAGTCTATGATGTTGAACTTTATTGAAAGCCTTTTCAAACTCTATAAAACACACATACAGGTTCTGATTCATATCAATACATCTCTATGCTAAGACATTTATGCTAAACAGAGCCTCCCTCGTACCCATGCCTCTTCTAAACCCTACTTGGATATCACTGATTTCTGAGTCCACCTTAGCAAAAATTCTATTATAAATAATTCTCAAAAACACTTTCAGTGTGTGACTCATCAGGGCAATTGTTCGATGGTCGGAACATTATTTGGCATTGGGTTTCTTGGGCAACGGTACAAAACTAGACATTAACCAATCCTTTGGTAAGAAACGGCATTTTATAAGAAACACATTTTATGTCCTTGCGACAGCCTGGCAAATGTGCGGTTCTGTGTAATAGGCAATGATAGGTCGTTGACAGAGAGCTTAGCGGAGAGTTCAGTCTCCTAATTGCTAAATATTTTTTAAATGATGGAAGTGGAGAATGTAACCTAAAGATCAGAAGAGGACCACAATAGATCTGAAAATGTCGCAGTAGATCAGACCGATAGCCACCACGAAGAATCTAATCTAATCTAGTCCAAGCATAGTTATAGCAATATTAGAGGTAGGTTCTGTAGGTAATTCCAGGTTCTTGTGTTCCGATTTAAATTAATCTCCACTTGGAAAGCAGAACGGTTCTGGTCCAGTTAGCGAAGTGTTCGCTCCTTTTCTAGCCAGGTCGTGATCAATTGCATTTTCTGCTCTTTTTTTGGATGCCGTCTGACAAAATCTTAACTTTCTTATTGAACAGACTTTATAAACATTATTTTGTGTGCAAGATCTCGCTCATCACTAAATCTTCCTTGACTCGGTGGGCAGACTTTATAAACATTATTTTCATTCTTACCCTTTTCAATAGTAATAAACTATATACCGGGTGGTCCGAACTGTATTGCAAAAACTTCGGCAGCATATTCTGTAGATGAAAATAAATAAAAAAGTTCGTATAAATGTATTTCCTAAAATGCTTAAATTCGAAGATACCGGGGTGTAGAAGTTTCATTTTTATTTCGATTTTTTCCAAATAATTTCAAACGTCAAAAAGTTAAAGTAACGTCAATATTTGGATGAAAATTGGTGTCTGGGAGTTTTTTGACATGAGAAATTTGATTTTTATATCAATATGACTCCGATTTGTAGGGGGCGCCACCTACATGTGTTTAACTGTTTTGAAGAGTAATAACTTTTCGTCCGTACCTCTATAAAACTAGTGAGAGGAAAAATGTACATCTGCGCGACTTTTTACGTAAAAAATGTCTTTTGGTAAAAATCGCTAAGAGCAACCGTTCTCAAGATATTTAGAATCGAAATAGTCAATACATGTCATTATTGAGAAAAAATAAACACGTTGAGAGTAGTTATTTGACTGAAAAATTAAATTTGAGAAATTTTTATTTTCTTAAATTAATCATAATTTTTTTTGCGAAAAAATGATGATAACACAGTTTCTGTTGAACTTTTGACACAAAGCATTTCAAATTTACAATTTCAATCTAAACTATTTAGTCAACATGTTTAATTTATGTCAATGATGACAGGTATTAATAATTTCGATTCCAAATATCTCGAAAACTATTACTTGTAACGATTTTTACCAAGGGATCTTTTCTACGTAGAGAACGTCGTAAATGTATATTCTTTTACTCAGTAGTTTTATACAGGTACGGACAAAAAGTTATTACTCTTTAAACCAGTTAAAACACATATAGGTGGGGCTCGCTACCAAGGCTTTTGAGAAAAAACCAGTAGGAATCATATAGATATCAAAATCAAATTTCTCATATCAAAAAACTCCCAGATGTCAATTTTTATTCAAATATTGACTACTTCAGAAATTATTTGGAAAAAATCAAAATAAAAATGAAATTTCTACACTCTGCATCTCCAAAACTAAGCGTTTTAGGACATACATTTATAGAAACTTTTTTACTTATTTTAATGTGCAGAATATGCTACCGAAGTTTCCGGAATACAATTCGGACCACCCTGTATAAAACAAACATTCCAAAATAAATCTTAGTAAAATATACAGCTGACAATTTCATTAACATTTAGAATGTGCATAGAAAAATTGACTGAAAAGCAAAACGAGTCGCCCCTGAAAGGACGCACCACGTAACCGAGAACGACACAGTGGGCTATTCACCAAAATGCATTTGCGGCCGGTGCCAGGTCTACGGCCGGTCATTCACTTCCAAATTCTGCAACCCGGGCCGGTTCCTACTCATATTTTTCTATCGCTTCCTCTCTGTTCATCTCGCTGGGCCGTCCGTCCCCCGTTAGAAGGAAAGAGAGAGAGGAGAAGAGCTAGAGCCGGAAACATGGGCCAGCAGCAGCAGCAAAAAGACCGCTGCTGCTGCTGCATTCAACCAACGTCTTTTCTTTTGGGTTTTTTTCGGTAATTGCAGCTATACGGACATTTGCTATGCCATTATCGGTAAGACCGCGAGGAATGTTCTCTCTTCTCCGTTCGGTCGACCCTTTCTCTTGGAGCCGGTGATGGATTTTTTACGACCTCCTTCGGCAAAATCCAAACCCGAAATATAAAAGAAGCTTGCGAAGAAAATAAGAATAATACAAAGAAGTATATAAAGCTAAAAAATCGGAGAAGATATGTCTGTCTATATCTATAATGTCTATATGAAATTTCTGGAGTGATTAGTAGCATATTCTAGAGTCATGGCCTAAGCCACTAGATTTATACGGCCTGGTGGTAGAAATATTCTACCACTGATTGTTATCAATCAGTTAGCAATCCTATTCAACTGCACAGGAAGTAAATTATGTCCACTTCTCATTCTTGGATCAGTCTATCTTCTTTATACTTTCCGATCCTCTATGTTACTTCTTCTTCTTCAATCCGCGTTTATCCATTCCTGGAATATGTCCTTCCTATCTTTTTGAGTGTTTCGTTTTTAAAGTTGGAGGCAATACGAATATTGTTATACCTATGCTTGGACTAGAATAGATTTGAGTCTTCGTGGTGGCTATCGGTCTGATCGACTGCGACATTTTCAGATCTATTGTGGTCCTCTTCTGATCTTTAGGTTACGTTCTCCACTTCCGTCCTTTTAAAAATATTTAGCAATTAGGAGACTGAACCCTCCACCTCTGTGAACGACCTATCATTCCTGACAAAAGAAAAATTTTCCTTCTAGAAAAGTTTAACAACACTTAATGCATTGTTTTTATACTTATTGTCAGACATAATTTATGTTTAATACATACCATTTTGCATAGTTGTGTTACCCATTTCATTTGTTTTTTTAATTAATTATGTAGACTGTGTGTGTGTTATGGAATGAATAAGAAACTTGTGTTTTCTAAAAATTATTGTTCTATTATTGTCAAATAACAATTAATTGTAATTTTTGCAAACTTGTAGTTTCATTCTTCCCAAAGTGTCTAACGTAAAAATTAAAAAAAGTATAATAATATTTACAATAATGGACGATTTAGCAAACTTAATATTATGCATTTTTTGCATTTTTTGGTAAAATTTGATGCATTTGAATGCGCATATTATTGCCTTTTTTGTTAGCATTTTTTCCTATATAGAATAGTCTGAATTTTTTATTTGTTATGAATATTTATACTTTTTTTCGTAATTTTAAACAATAATTACAGTTCTTCACCTAGTTCAAAACAATACATTTTTTATACAGGGTGTCCCAGGCTGAGCGTGCATTAGAAGTTTCTAGAGAACCACAATATCCAGATCGGAGATTGTTTGCACATCATTGTTTCACAACGAGATCTATCGATTAAAAATATTTTCAATATGGCGACACTTCCGGAAATACCGGAAGCTGACAGCAACTTTCTTATTTTAAATGAGAGGCTCCATTTTTTATTATATATTTAAATTGTCTGTAAAATTCTATGAATATTTATGTTAAACTGTATATCTAACATTAACCGTTTTTGAGAAAAAAATTATTTAAAATTTTTGGACGAAAAAAACTACCTGTTAAAAAAAATTTGTATAGCCTAAACGTCAAATTTAGTGATTACCACAGCCACTGTGCCAGAAAGAAAAAACGTGGCTATCTACAGGGTCCGGCAATAGTGCGTCGGGCATCTGTAGCTCCTAGAATAAAAAACTTGAGAATTTTGTTTAAGTGCAAACCTAAAGTATGTACCAGGATGTATTTCAAGAAAATATTTTAACTTCTATAGGGTGGCTCAAAAAAGTGTGAGTGGACCTGGATGATTTTTTTTAAATGGAACACCCTGTATATTATTGCATTTTTGGCTTCCTTTCAGATCACTTTACATAACCCTAAGATATGAATAAATATATTTCGATAGTTTCAGAGATATTAAAAAATAAATCAAAAATATATATTTTTCAGCCCTTCTTAAAAAATTATTAAAAATACAGGAACTGTTCTGAAATCAAAACTATATTAGGTATTTACTTTAGATAGTCTGCACTTACTTTGCTATAAATATGAAAATCGTAAATTATACAGGATGTTCAAAATTCTACACCAAACTTTCTAAAATATAAAACAATTTTTCTTCGTTTTTTTCAATGGAACACCCTGTATATTATTTTATCAATAGACGGAGAATTAAAAAATGAACATTTTTTGTATTTAGAGTATTTCAAAATTTTTAACGGTTTCGCAGATATTTGCAGTTTTATATTTCATATGGCATTTTCCACAGTAAATTTTTATCAAAGCCACCCAATGATTTTTCTCTCGTATTTTATCATTGAAAGCGCCATATGAAATAGTACTGCGTGTATCTGCGAAACCATTAAAAATTTTGAAATACTCTAAATACAAAAAATGTTCATTTTTTAATTCTCCGTCTAATAAAAAAATAATATACAGGGTGTTCCATTTAAAAAAAACAAAGAAAAAATATTTTATATTTTAGAAAGTTTGGCGTAGAATATTGAACATCCTGTATGATTTACGATTACCATATTTATAGCAAAGTAAGAACAGACCATCTAAAGTAAATACCTAATATAGTTTTGATTTCAAAACAGTTCTTGTATTTTTAATAATTTTTTTTAGAAGGGCTGAAAAATATACATTTTTGATTTATTTTTTAATATCTCTGATACTATCGAAATATATTTATTCATATCTTAGGGTTATGTAAAGTGATCTGAAAGGAAG